AGGGAGGGTAAAGGGAGAATGGGTAGGAAAGAGGGAACCGATTACATGGAACTGTGTGTGACCTCCTCCCTGGGGGACAGACAACCGAAAAGTGGATGAAGGGAGACGTCGGACAGGGCAAGATATGACAAAATACCCATTTATAAACTATCAAGGGCTCATGCTGGAGGGGGGAGCGGGGAGGGAGGGGAAAAATGAGGACCTAATGTCGGGGGTTTAAATGGAGAGAAAATGTTTTGAGAAACGATGTACAAATGCGCTTTACACAATTGATGTGTGTATGGATTGGGATAACAGTTGTGTGAGCCCCTAATAAAATGTTAAAAAAGAAAAAGAAAAAGAAAAAGAAAAACAAAAACAAAAAAAAAGAAATTCTATTTCTACACACATTTAATGTAAAATGCAATTAATGAGATATTCTGCACTCTTTTACTATGTCCCCCCACAAAGTCTTTGAAATACTGCCTGTATTTTGTACTTTGGAGGTCATCTCAGTTTGAACTAGCCAATTTAAAATGCTCAAATCCATGCATGACTGTTGATGAGTATAGGCAAGGGCATTCTTACTGTCCCCCAAATATTGGGTTTCAACGTTATCTCTAGAAATTTATCACAGTACATGTAAGGATCTTCTCATATGCATGTGAAAGCAAGACAATGAATACGGAAGATGGGAGAAAAGTCAATGCATGTAGATTATGTTGCAGACAAAGAGTATTGAATGGACCATGGACTGACACCACCACTTGCCTGTCAGCTTGTTGAACTGTGGTGGTTGGTGTGTTGCTGTGGTACTGAAAGCTATGTCACTGATATTAGCAAATGCCAGCTGGGTTATCCACACGAATAGGCTTCAGCATAATTTCCAGACTAAGAACAGACTACAAAGAAGGAATAGGTTGTGCACTTTGAGGGAATTAGCCACTGAAAATCTTATACCTAGCATCCGTACATTGTCAGCTATTGAAAACATCAGGAATAGAAGCTGAAATCTTATCAGAGGTAATGCCAGAAGTTGTGTTCCTCGGGTCGGAAGGCACTCAAAATATGACTGAGGAAGAGCTGCCTTCTCGAAGTACAGTCAACTATAAGGAAGTGGATGGAATGAAGCCTTGGGAGTAAAACCTTTGGGACCTCTATTTGCTGATGGGGCATGACTCAAAATGAGAAGAAACAGCCACACACATCACTTAATAGTCAGAACCTTAAATAAACTAAGTACGAATCTAGGAAAATTGGAAGTCACCAAAAATGAAATCAAACATATAAAAATTGGTATTGTAGGTAAGGGAGCCAAAATGGACTGGTGTGGGCCATTTTGAACCAGAAAATCATAGAGTTTATTATGCTGGGAATCACACACTAATGAAGAACAGTGTCGCATTCATCATAATAAAGGCCATTTAAAGATCAATCTTGAGGTGTAATTCTGTCCGTGATAGGATAATGCCTATCCACATACAAGGAAATACAATCCATACAAATATACAAATTTATGCACCAACCATGAAAACTAATGATGCATAAATGGAAGAATTCTACCAACATCTTAAAGTCTGAAATTGACCAAAAGTGCAATCAAGATGCACAGGTATTTATTGATTATTGGAATGCAAAAGTTGGAAATAAAGAAGAACAGTATTTGAAAAATACTGGCCTTGGTGATGGAACATTTGGCTGAAGATCATCCAACAATGGTTGCAGCAATACACTCACAGGGAGCTATCAGAGGTTCAGGCTGGATTCAGAAGAGGACTTAGAACAATGGATACCATTGCTGATGTCAGATAGATCTTGACTGAAAGCAGACAATTACAGGAAGGTGTTAATTTGTATTATAGACTATCACGATGGTCTATGTCATAAGAAATGATGGATAACCTTGAGAAGAATGGGAATTCCAGAACACTTCAATGTGCTCATGAAGAACTTGTACATGGATCAAGAGGCACTGAGTGTAGAACATGATAATATTGCATGATTTAAAATCAGGAAAGGTTTGCATCAGGGTTGTATTTTCTCACCTTACTTAATAAACCCATATGCAGAGCAAATAATCAGCGGACCAGGATTGTATGCAGAAGAATGTGGCCTCAGGATTGGAGGAAGGCTTATGAACAGCCTGTGATATGCAGTTGGCACAAACTTGCTTGCTGAAAGTGAGGAGGAATTGAAGCACCTTCTGATGAAGATCAAGGATTGTAGCCTTCAGTATGGATTATCACAGTGTAGAAAAGACCAAAATGCTCACAATAAGTAACATCAGGATAAATGGAGAAAAGATTGAAGTTGTGAAGGATAATGTCGTGCTTGGATCCTCAATGAATGTTCATGGGACCAGCAATCAAGATATCAGAACAAGCATTGGGTAAGCCTGATGAACAAGACCTCTTTAGGATATTGAAAAACAGGTATGTCACCTTGAGGACTAAGGTGTGTGTGACCCAAGCCATGATATTTTCAGTGGTTTCATATGCATGTGAAAGTTGGGCATTGAATTAGGAAGCTGGACAATGAATGGATGAATTTGAATTGTGGTGCTGGAGAAGAATATTGAAAATACCACGACTCCTAAAGGACAAATAATTCTGTGGTGAAAGGAGTATGGTCACAACGCTCCTTAGAGGCAAGGATTGTGATTCTTAGTTTAATATACTATGGACATATTGTCAGGAGAGACCGGACCCAGGAGAACGGCATCATTATTAATGTGGTAGTTAGGTGATCTTATATCAAGTAGACACTCCTGGTTAGGATTGGAGCCAGATTCAACAATCAGGTCACAGTCTGATGCTGTCTCCTTGGGGACATGGCCTTCTTATAAAGGTGACACTAGGAACAGCTGACTCTCTCTTTCACTCACTGGCTTACTGGCTCACTCGCTGGCTTGCTCGCTCAGCTACTTCTGCTGTGAGCTGCTGGAGCCCTGCCAGGTGTTCACCGACTTTGGATCCACATGACTCTGAACCCACTGGCCTGTGATCCTCCTGCATTCTTCATCATCGCATGTGGCTACAAGATTCTGATGAGGATTTATGGACTATATAGGACTTGAGTTGGACTGGGCTGGGATGCTTTTTTATATAATTACTCCTCGCTATAAAGTCCTTTTGTACACGTGCATGAATGCACTGGGTTTGTTTCTGTAGCCACCCAGCCTAACACACTTGATAGAGGAGCTGTGAAAACGAGGGAGACCCTCAACAAAATGGATTGCCACAGTGACTGCTGCAACAGTCATCCCAGGCACAGGACCTTTTGTGAGGATGGTGCGGGGCAGGACAGTGTCTCATTGTGTTGTGCACAGGGTTGCTATGAACTGGAACAGACATGATGACTCCTAACAATGACATGAAAAAAAATGAACACACACACACACAAATAAGTACACACACACAATCAGGATCGCTGTCAACTGAGGAAAGGGAAGAGATAGGACAACAAGAGGAATTCTAATAAAAGGACCCTGAAGATAATGTTGGCATTTGCTGCAGCAGGAGAATATCTACAAACTATTATTATTTATCCAAGTATTCCTTCCTCATTCATCATAAGTGTTTTGAATACATATTGTATGCTATGTATCTTCAAAATAACGTTGGGTATGATAATGACCTTTAGAGGCTTAGTTTGTGGTGAAAGAGATAAAACAGATTAAACTCCTAATTGAGATAATAATGATAATCATTAGCATTCAGTTAAAGTCAAATGTTTAAATGTGTAAAAAGTGCCAGGAAACATGTTAGCCACAGGGAATGGAAAAGTAAACACACAACGAAAACTTTACAAGTAATCACTTTCTCTACATTCTCATTGATCCCTAATTACTGCCCTATGGAATATGTTTTCTTTTTTTTTTTTAAGTGGTATCCAATCTTTTTTTTTTAAATCATTTTATTGGGGGCTCATACAACTCTTATCACAATCCATACACATGGAATATGTTTTCTTATAATCCCCTTGAGGGTCAGAAAAGGTAAGTATGGTAACTTGCCTTAAGCTACACAGGTACGGCTGAATAAGATGATATAAACCAACTATTATAAAAACATACTTCCTTTATTTTGAGTGGCATTTAAATTAAAGTGGAAGCTAGGTATGAGTCGTGTTAAAGAGGTTTGGGAAGCACTTTCTAGGATGTAAAAATGGGACTATGAAAGTCATAATCTATATATAGAAATATTCTATATGTGACAATATGTAAATAATTTTATTTTTCCTTGAGCAGAACATTTGAGGGTGATGTGAGATGGGTCGTGAGAAATAACTTAGAAAAACATGCATGCTATTAATTAACTATTATTTTACTTTTAAGTTTGTTGAGCTTGGATTTGATTTTGTATTAAATTAATGGTAGAGTGACATTTCTTAGTATGGCTTTTCTATCCATATCTCTACAATTCCCACCATATAATTGTTTAGGACCAAGAAAATGGGACATATATACCATGAGCAGAAGGGACTGGCCAGTTTTAGTTGCCACTCCTCTGCTATAAGGATGACCCATCTTGGCAGGGAGAGGAAAATCCCAGGAGCAATGGAAGAAGAGGCCCCGTGTAGTGAGTGAGTAGGAGATATCTGTTTGAAGTGGTGGAGACAGATCAGAGAGCAGAGCTGGTGGCAAGATGACCATGAGCCAGAGCATCTCCTATTTCTTGGGATACTCACTCTCAAAGTCATATATCACACTGAGGAGAAACCCAAGTAGTTAATGGAGAGAACTACCTGAAGGGCAGAGCCACAGGAAAAACTGGAGCCCCAAGGCCCCAAGGCCCCAGCATTAGACTGGCCCCAGCTGACATCCAGCACCAAATAGCCATCCATGTAAGTTAGTCACCTTAGAACTGTGCCCTTCAGTCCAGCCCACACTGAGCAGAAATCATCTCTTCCCACTAAGCCTGGCCCAAACTGCTTATCTGTGAGCTATATAAGATACTGTAGTTGCTTTAAGTAAATAGGTTTTGAGATAGTTTGTTAGCAATAAAAAATTAAACAAACATCTCATCCTTTTCTTGGGGTTGCGCTACTATCCAAGGAACGCATAGTAAGGGTAGTATTGCTAACGCTTATACAACACACTTGCATTAGTTAAAACTCTGCTTTATTTTGATGAAATTTTTGGAAAAAAAGAAAAAGGGAAAAAAAATTAAACAAACAAAAAACAAAACTCACTGCCATCCAGTCAATTCTGACTCATAGCGACCCCACTGGAAAGCATAGAATTGCTCCGGTGAGTTTCAGACACTGATTATGTCCCCCCAATGAGCCAGACTTAGAGGGACCCCAGACTCAAGACCTGAATAATGAAGGCAGTCTTCATTCAGGACTGCTCCTGGAGGAAAAGATGTAAAAAAGCATCCAGAGCCAGAAGGCCAAGCTACTTCCTACCTACTTACTACCCTGCTGGTTACAGCTCAGGACTCACAGGAGCCTGTCTGGCAGAGTAGAAGAGATCCCTGGGGTGTCCATGTGGGTGAGTCCTCCAGGCAGCAGAGAATGTCATTTCTTTCACAGACCGGTAGAATTTACAATTACTTTCTATATTTAAAATTTACGATACGGCTTTTTTTTTTTGGTCACGTTTAGCTCTGGCAAATAGATGATGGAGAGGCGCCTAAGCCATTGAGTGAAAAATGCCCTAAAATCTAGGCTTTCTTTCTGGACTGCCATTTTTCATCCTAGCCTGACTTGCTTCTGGCAAGTAATCTTATGCATGTGACAACATAGGACAGGCTCATGTGGAAACCGCTTACACACACACACATACACACACAGAGCAAATTTTATGAACTTCACTCTTGGCTTGAAATGAACATATTTCATAGGGCGCCTGGTGTCCTTTCAAGAAAGGTGTTCCTCTAGTTTTGTCTATTGATGGAGGTTGCCCTCCACCTCGCCCCTGTCTGGGGAAGGGGGCGCACAAGCTCCCTTGGTCCTGCTAGGTGCATCTCCTAGGGGATGTCCTCAGCCAGAGCTGTTTGTGCAAAGGGCAGCTGATTCTGCCCATGGGAGGGTGGACGAGGGGAGGGCTGAGTCCGCCCAGGGTGGCCGCCCGAGCCGCACCGCCCACTCAGGAATCCCCTCCTCTCCAGCAGTGGCTTCCCTAGAGGGGTGCACGCCGCACCCCTTTACGCGGTCAGACCGAGTCCCTCCAAAATGACCCCAAGGTGGGGGGCGCTGTGCCAGTCGGCCCCGCCCACGGGGCGGGAGAGTTGCCGGGGGGAGGGGGAGGACCTCGGTCCCTAGCGACGCCCCCGCCCTCCCCGCCGGGCGCGCCCCCGCCTCGCTGGCCTCGTGCCTCGCGCCGCGGCCGGATCTTCTCGAGTTTCAACACAAAGGGAATCCTCAGCCGCAGGAAGTGCATCACGAGCCGGGAGGGACCCGGGGGGCGGGGTGAGGGGGATGCCGCCCTCCCTCCGCACACTCCCGCCTTCCGCGGGCCTCGGGCGTCTGTGACGAAACCCGCAGGGTCCCCTGTGCGCCCCGAGAGCCGGGAGAATTCAAACCAGGCTCCCGCACCTCACGCCCCACCGTGGGGCCGCGGCCGCGCCCCGGCTCCCGGCGGCGGGGCACAGAGCTGCCCCCGACACCTGTGCACTCGGTCCCGCCACTTCTTCCGGGTGCGCGAACCCCCGGAGCTCGCTTTTGTTCCCCTGACCCTGCCCTCTCCACTTACCGTCCACGTCCCCTCCTTCCCGGGGTTTGCGGTGGGACCCCGGCCTGTCCGCACGACGCCCCCCGCACCCCTCCCGTCCCCTCCTCCCAGGACGGCGCCCAGGCTTCGGGCGAGGCTTTCCCGGGTCGAAAGGGAGTCCCCGCGAGAGCTGGGGGGAGGCGGGCCGCAGGGGCCACTTTCACGGAAATACCCGGACACCTGCGGTTCCGGGACCCGGCCAGGTGCTCCACCTGGAGGTGCTCCTCTTGGCGGGGGCGCGCTCTCTGGAGGAGAGGACGGGGAGCCGGCTGAGGCATTTCTGCGGGAGCGGTCTTTGCCAGGCAGCCTTCCCGCGCCTCTTTATTTCGTTTTCCTTCTGTTGTGCCAATCCGGAAAGCTGCAAACTTTGCTAGAAATTCTCTCTTCGCTTTTCACCCGAAAGTGGGAAATCCCCAACTGGCCGGTATAGATGAAAAGATGTTATAGGGTTGGGTGTTTTTTTTTTAAGTTTGGGATGACTTGTGGGAGGCCCATGGCCCTGTAGAGGGTCTTCAGCACCCCTTTCTGGTGGCGGGCCATCGGTGGAGGTGGCCTTCTGGGCCTTGGGAGTCGGGTCGCCCAGGGCAGGCCTGGAAGACTGGGGAAGGGGTGCGCACTTCGGGCTTCCCTACTCCCCCCTCGGGTACCCGCAGTGGCAGGTCCAGAAGGGAACTGCCTCCCGAGGGACTGGCAGCAGCCTCTGTGCCCTCAACAGCACCCAGTGACCTCCCCCCACCCAAGTACCCAGCGGAGCCGAGTACCTGCCGGGGCCAGTCTCCTCCTCTGCCCTGGGACCACACCCAAGGCACTGCGGGCTCCCCTGGTGAGGGACCAGGAGGGAACAAAGGGGTCTTTTGTTCACTGGCTCCTGGGGGGGTGGCAGCCTCGCTCCCTCTGGTTTCCCGGAGCCTGCGAGGCTCTGAGCTGCAGGGACTCGCCCAGCTCCCTGCGCTGCCCCCAGTGCCCCCAGACCTTGGGTCAGGGCGGGGCACTCTGGGCCCCCCCGCGGGC